CAATTTTCAACCAAAGTTAGGGCCAAAATACCCTCCTCAATGGGACACATCCTTTAATTTAATTTTTTTCACAAAAACTGCTAGGCGGATTTTTGTGCAAACTTCAGCAAATTTTCTGCAAAGTTCGAAGCAAATTCCTTAAATTTCTCAAAGGTTGGTTCACACGTTGATTTAGAGATACCGGAAACGTTTTTTGGGATAATGCCCCCACTCCTCCCCCCTCCTAAATGTACGGTACAATAATAGTATTTGAGGAAGAGAATATTGAGTGTAAAGGCTAACATTTGTGGAATTTTTCAAGGCGTCGTCCTCTTCTCTCTTTCATTGCATCAGTATGCTTGTCTGGACGCAGATCGTTCGAGCACCATCCATCATTTCCATAAATCATCAACGGATCGAAGTTTGATGGAAAGGGAACCTCGTAAACAAGGTAATTTGATTGGTCGTTACGTGCACGCGGCAATAGCAATGGCGTTTATTCCTGCAAGACCGTGCGAGAAAGCGCCGGGTCCCCCCATCTTTCGGACCCCCCCCCTCCCCCTGCCACTCTTGTTTTGAGATTGATATGCGCCGCATGCCAAGAGATGTCGCTCGCATCGCGTTCCGCGCTCGCATCTTGCACGGTTCAACACCATGTTGCCGGGTACTCCACCTGAGCACGAAAATTTTCCATGTGTGATTTATTACCACTTGACTAGATTTTCGCAGGCAAGGCTTATAGGCGGGAAAAGAGCGAATTTCTGGCTTCTGCATTGATTTTAAAGGAAGCTATCAATGCGGCAAGGAAGGATTTCTTTTTTCGTTTTCTTTTTCTTCTTTTTTTCTTTTTTTTTTTGATTGCACTAGGAAAGCAGGTCTCAGCCAACCGATCAGTTCAGAATGGGTACCGCACTCTGATCGAAGGAAAAAATTACACTACCACCACTACCACCACTACCACTCTACTACTACTAATACTACTACTACTCCGACTAACATGCCGCTTTACAGCGCTTCCGTACGCTCTGCGACACCCGACCGCCATAGGTAGCCAGAGCTCCTCTAACAAATCGCATCCCCTCATTTCCTGCCTTAAACCGTCAGTCCACGATTTAACAAACAAATTGAGGGCTGTTTCGGTCGAAGGGCGTAAGAGTCTCGTGATGCTGCTAAGATTGTGCAATTTTTAAAGAAAACTGCGGCAGATGAAATTCATTTACAGTCGACTTACTTCCTTGCATTAGTGAGAAGAAACTTGGAGCAGATTCAGGAAAAAATTCGTAGCAGAACTGTCCGATAAGTACTTACAACTAGAGAACCACATCGCACAATCGAAAAAGCATTGGAATTCTCACACGCCCTTTTACCGAAAAAGGTCTCAATTATTTTCCCTTCCTTAAACAATCCGTTGGAAGTGGAGCCTATTTTGTTTATCGTGGGAAGGTGTAGATGGTCTCATCCCTAATCGCACGCGAAACATTTACAATACGACTTTGCCACTTTAACCAATATACCTAGTTTCACACTGGAAAAAAAATCTCGGTGTATTTACCAAGAAAAGGGTAAAGTTACCAAGATTTCAGGGTTCTATTTGATCCCAGTTTTTTCTTGGTAAAATTACCATTTATGGAATTGGTAATTTCACCGAGAAATCTCGGTAAAATTATTGAACTTTCCCGGTAATTTTACTGGACCTCGGGAAAAACGCCAATATTTTTCATCGACTGTGGTAGAATTACCGAGATAAAATGGCAAAGATACCGGGAATTGATTATCAATAAAAGTGGTATTCTTACCTGAAAAAAACAGTAAAAATACCGGTTTTTAGGTAAGCTTACCAGTCTGTTTTGGTAAAATTACCAATAATTAGTAAAAAAGTGTGATGGTAAAGGTACCAACGGACCGTGGTAAAAACGCCGAGAATTTGTTTTCAGTCCATCAGATTGTAACCGATTATGATACGTCTCGTGACCTCTGTTGGATGCAATACACACGAAAAAACTTTCCATCGGGAAAGGTAACTTTGATTGAAAGTCAGTATTTTCTGGACACAAACTGGCTACTCCATGGTCCAATCCAAAGCCAATTAATTAGCTCACCAGTGCCAACGATAATATCGTTCCACGCTCCGAACCTCAGGTGCTGCCAAGTTTATTCTCTTCCATCGCTTTTGAGGCAGGGCATGACCACAAGCCGTGGAATCAAATTTTCAGAACCGAACCACCCGCTTATCACGATGGATGGGTTTTTGTGATAAGTTTTCGTCTTTTAAAAAATTTAGAAGCTACATGTATCATCAAAGCAGAACCAGATTAGCCGGGGTGTCGGGGTGCTGTAAAAGCCGGGAGGGGGGGGGGGGNGGGGGGGGGGGTGACTAATAGTTGAATTTTTGCTCTCAACCAAAAGTTAGCGAAAAATAATATCGATGATAAATTTAAAGCATTCGAGAAAAAGGACAGAGATCCAAGCTTATAGTTTGAAAAAATTATACAATTTTCCCGCATGAGACATAGCATAATTTTATAATATTAATAGAACGTTTAAAAATTATAATCATTCGACATTTTTTACAAAATTATGATTATATAAGAGAAATAATTTTCCACCAATCAACAGAAATTGGGACCGAAGCACCTATAGATGGTTTTGATATCAATGTCCTTTCAAGTACGCGCTATAAAATATAAACATTTCTCTCAAGTAAATATTCCAGGAAACTGAAGCTCTCTTTTCTCTCCCTTTCTTTTCCGCCTATTGCATCCGTTAACTGAAATATTTCGTTTCACTCCGAAGTCATCTTTCAGCTTGAATCTGTATCTCATTGCGATGTACCTGTAGGCAAATTTCTTTCATTTGGCAGCATTGTTTTATTTTCGCCGTCTAAAGAATCAAAGTGGTTCAACTGGGTTGACAGATACATTTTGTATAAAAGACACTTCTCAAGTTTTTGAGGATGCCGTCATTAAGGAAAATAACTGATCCAGCAGATGGTGATTGTACCCGTGTACCGGCTAAGTCTTGCCCACTTTAAGGTTAGGGATCTTTTATATATCATAATGATACAGGAGATACTGTATAATAATGCAGCCTTTTTGTTTGATAATGTTTACGTATCATATTTTTCGATAAAATAATTTCGTCAGCCATGTTTAGGCTTTCTTCGTTATTTTCTGAAAAATTGGGGAAAGTGGGGAAGTCAAGCCAGTCTTACGTAATTCATTAGTGGGATGAGCGGTTTTATTACGAGTGTTTTATAGGGAGACTTGGAAGGGACATGGGGGGGGGGGCAAAAATTAAAATGGCTTACGTAACATTAAAGCGGCCCCGAAACGAGGTGCATCATCTACACACGTGAGCTCCTAAAATTATCTTAAATCACAAGTAGGGAACCTAATAACGATTAAACTAGGGTATCAGACTAATCTCTTTCCCTGTAAATTGCTATGATTGATTGCTTATCGTAAAGGTTAGTTGCATCTAAACTGCCGTCATCAAAACACATGCGGTTAAGTATCGAATAACAGCGAAATTCTCAGACTAAAATAAGTCAGCGGTAAAATATTAATTAATTGGGTGAAACGTAGGAGCCCTCTCGTGTACCATACTTCTAGTGCAACTGGTTTTTAAAAGTGAACGCATGTGATCTAACCTATTTTGGGTTTAAATAGTGCGCTCTGATATCCTTCTTGTGTAGCTTCCCTGATCTTAGATCACTGTCTTGCCACACTCACGCACACTGTCGCAGATGCAGCACCTCATTGCTGATGACGTACCCTGAAGTTTTTTTACCCGCGCCAGGAGAAGGTAGTTACAGAAATATCTAAATTTCTACAATGGAGATGTTGCATGTGTAAGGAATTTGCGATTTGACTGTTGATTCTTATGTAAAAGATTGCGAGAAACACGATGGTGCCACTGGTTTTCTCTGAAATCAACCCCAAAGCTCAAAAAAGCTCTCAAGTTGAGGCCAAAATGGAGGGGATATCCCACGCTATCCTGAGAGTCCACCTTTACATCGAGACAAACTCTTCACGCAAAGATAAGGAGCAAATACATTGACAGAGTTGCCGTGATTTCAGTTTTATAGTCCCCAAATAAGGTGGCAACCCTGTCAATGTATTTGATCCCTATCTTTGCATGGAGAGTTTGTCTTGGTGTAGAGGTGGACTCTTAGGGTAGCGTGGGACATCCCCAACATTTTGGCCTCAACTTGAGAGCTTTTTCTGAGCTTGGGAGTTGATTTCAGAGGAAACCAGTGGCACCATCGTGTTTCTCGCAAAATTTTACATAAGAATCAACAGTCAAATCGCAAATTCCTCACACATGCAACATCTCCATTGCAGCACATCAGACGTAATGTATACATTAACTAAATCCTTTAGAGATTTTGAGATGTACAGTACAAAGTAGCCACAGTTAGGGAACACCGGGAAATGTCAGGAAATGACGAACGTTTCAGGAAGAAATTTTAAATCACCTTTATTTGTTCCTTAGAATGGGTTCGGAGTTCAAACAACAGATTTTGTGCGGAAACTTTTTCAAGCTATGTCTTTTTCACCATCCGGCATTTCTTCAATTAGAAAATTTTACCTAATACGACAGAGAAATGTCAGGGAATTTCGCTTTTTAAATTCTGTGGCAACCCTGACATTAGAAAGCTGCGAGAATATTCTTATAAATATTTCTTTTTGATTGTCTCCATTCAGAAGTTACTGAATCAATTATCATATAACAACAAGAAATGTGGTATCCTTTGCGGAATATATTTTATTAATTATACTCACTTATAGCCAAAGCTTTTCAACGCCGCAGGTGCCATCTTTAGAACTTACACATGAAATACGTACAACTATAACGAAAGGCAAAAAGACCAAATGTGGACATCAAAAAGAACAGTAAAATACAAATGCAAGTTATTATTTTCTTTCAACATGCACGTATTTTATTGTACTCTCTGATGTCTATATTTGGTCTTTTTGCCTTCTGTTAGTTTTATGTATTTAATGTGTAAAGCCCTGAAGATGGCACCTGCGGTATTGAACAGCTCCGGCTATATGTGAGTTTTAATTAATAGAATGTATTGCGCAAAGGCTACCATATTCATTGTTAGTACAATATGCGCAACAACCATCAATATGTTCAAATTATCATATAATTTTTGGACCACTCTCTTCAATTGATGATTGCCTTAACCCTCTGAACAGCAACTTCGAGTGTGCACAATCTGGCACCAATGACGCGGCGAGTCGCCCCGAAGGCGCAGCCGCGGAGCGGTCACTTAATCAGGTTTTTTTCTCCCTTTTTAAATTATTCTAATGAGCAGCTTCATTCTACTTTTTCGAATTGATAACCTAGAAAACGTAACCCTAACTAACTCATTTGAAACCGACTTGAGGACGCCTGGACGTCACCTCATTATTTTCATTTCTGTTTTATTTCTATTTTTACTTTATTTTTATTTCCTCCAAGCGCACTGCCCGCGCGCCGTCGCAGTTAAAATGCTTTATTGCGCCCTAAGGATCGGCAGTGTTGCCTGATTGATCAAATTTTTTTCGCTCTTTCACGACCTTTTCAGTTCCTCTTTCAGTTGAAAGGAGACTGGATTCTCGTCGGTTAATAATTCTGCAGGTCTACATAAAATCAGTAAGTGAAATTATAAAGTTAGTTTGAACAAGATGTGTGGCAGAATAACGAGATTTTTTTGTGAAGACTGAAAACAAAAGATCGATTCCGTAATCAGGTCTTTCGATACGTAGCGATTAAATAATAAAAATCTAATTGGCCCGTTTGAATTTCGATTAGTTTTGGCGCGCTTTGAAAGCTTGGTAAAAGTAAAACAACCAATCAGAGGGTTAAATCATATTAATTTTTCTTAATCACGCCAAGACCTCGATACAAAAATAAAGGAATTTAGGCATATAAATTTCCCCACGGACGATTTCAAAGTGATAAGCAGAAAAATTTCTCCCAAAATATAAAAAAAGAAAAAAAAATACGAGGTAAAGTCACCGCTGAATGACAAACGTCCTGGTTGGACGTTTGGTGAATAATTCCGGGTTTCCTTGTGATGATCTGACAATCCTGGCATCTGAGAGTGATACCACTATTCGGCCACGTGGGAGCTCGGGTTGCCTACACTGAAAACTGAAGGCAAACTGACAGTGAGGTGAAGTCACCGCTCCACCTGCCACGCTCGGTGAATCATTCCTACTTTCTTCCTCGAGCAATCGTGACTTCTGAAGGTGATGACACTATTCGGCCAAATGGGAGCTCTCGTTGCATACACTTAAAACTTAGGGCAAACTGAATATGAGCTGAAGTCAGATCTACGACGGTTTTCATGAGAGTGAGGATGGTGCACCGGAAAAAGAGTCTCTTACATCTAGAGCCTAAACTCTTAAAAAATTAGACATCAAAAAATACTCTCGATTCAATCGGATTTTTACCTGAATAAAGGGGAAATCCGCTCAAATCAAGAGGTTCGGCCTCAATTCAAGCAAAAATCCGGTTGAATCCCATACTTAATAGGCGGATCTAGGAAGAAAGAAGGAAAAACGCTTACATTCTGTAATTATTCATGACGAAATTGACTCCAACTACATATTAGATGTCTCAAAAATTAAAAAATTTTCCGGGAGGGGGCGGACTCCCTTATCCCCCGCCCCCTTCCGAGGTGTTTGTATCCGCCCATGTGGAATCAAGAGTATTTTTTCTTGTAAAACTTTGGAAGCGTCTGAACTCCGGATCCAAGATGCTTCTTTTTCAGTGTAGAAACATTTCATAGCGACAATGAATGCCACGTAATTGGATTAATTATTTTTAGATTAAGGTAGGCTCGGCGGAGACCCGGAATAACCCGCGGTCTCTACCGTCGTCGCAGCGAGGGTTCGTGAGAAAATGCACAGCTCGTAGTGTGTGTTGATAGTGTATTCGACCGCCACCACCAGCCGGACTCGAAGAAATATCTAAAGCTCTAATGAGCGCTCACTTGTTTTTATTGATACTCGGCGAAAAGATAACGCCAGCCTGCGGGACGCGTGGGGTGCGGAAAACAGAACACAGTCGCCGCTGGTGTTTACATAATCCGCACCTAATTACCCGCCTGACCTATCCAACACAATAATTGAACGCCTTTAAGTTTTAGATAGGGTGCACGCCGCCGCCGCCGCGTAAGGATCTAACAATACTTACGCCCTTCTGCCAACGTGCCGTCCGATTCAATTCCATTCCGGCCGCCGCCACAGCTTCTTAATGAGTTTTTATTTTCGTATCTTTTCAGCGATTAATTAGTTTTCGTCTTCTCGACGACGACGCGGCGACGCACAGTGGATCGAGTCAATCAGAGAGGTCAATCTTTGACCAAAACCCCAAATTTTGATGTTAATTTCGTCACATTTCACATTATGGGGGGTGTCTCTAAAAGGATGTTTCTCGGAGAAACCAATGAGACCACTTATGGAACCTCAGAATTGTGTATAAACAACGTAACAAGCTTTTAAAGTCTCCGAATTTTGTCCGACCTCTCCTTTCGACTCGATCCTTTGTGCGACGACGCCTTCAATACTACCGTGCTGAGGCAGAACGCCGTATGAACATTGGAGAGTTGCCTGATTTCCTCCGATAACGTGGTTGTTTTCGAGGCAAGTTATGAATATTTCACCTTGAAATCTCAGGAACTTCAGGTGAAATTGCGAACTGAATACCTGCAAAATTGGAAGAAAAATATTCACATATTTACGAAGAAATTTGTGTTTTATCGAAGGATATTTGGCAAAGCCTGAAGTTTCATACGGCGTTTTTTCTTAGCACAACAGAATACTGTCACCTAACGCCGACAGCGAAAGTCTTATTTTCTTCCCGGGGCACCTCTACTCCGACCTCCGCACTTATCCGGTGTTCAGGTTTAAGAATTCGCATTGAAATCCTCTCTTTCGTTCGCGTTTCAACACAGTGGCGATTCTTGAGTGTTGGCAGCACTGTTTACTTTTCATTTAAATCTATTAAAAATATAGACTCCAGGAATCGATTGTTTTACATACATTTAAATGGAGGGGAAAACAGTGTTGCTAACCTTCAAGAATCGCCTCTGTTTTAGCATAACCCCTATACGAGGTTGAGGAAAAGCTAATCTAAGGCGAATCGCAAATCGTCAATCCCCTAAAATCTTATTTCATCAAAGAACTCTAGTACATGCAGATTGAATCACATTATCCATACTCATGAATGCAAGTTCAGTTGATTGATTACGTACTCGCCGCGCGATGATCACCGTATCACCGGACCGCTGATCGTGGATTTGTGAATTTTCGCGCCTAATCTGAGTTCGGTGTTTAAGCGACATCTAAGAAATTTGATTCCTGCAGTTGCAGAATAGAACGTGTAGTGAAATCGCGGGTTGAAAGGGTGCTTCGGCGTAAAATAGAGCAGAGGAAACGCGGGTTGATGACGGCGCAGAGATACAACTATTCGTGCTTGATGGATGTCCGTGTTGCATCTGCAAAATTGAAGGCGCGATGGTGCGATGCGTAAACTCGTTTTGCTCCGCTCTATGCTGCCAGTGAAGCGTTGCTGAGATGCGAGAGAAAAGTTGAAAACGAGGCCCGATCACGACTTTTCTATCTTCGGCTGTGTTGACACTCGATTCTCTCTCTAATTTTTCAGTGCGACAACTCTTTTTTTTTTTTTTTTAAAGGAAATGTATCTGTATGTATTTCTTGTTAAATGAGAGAGTGCGATTTTTTGTGCAAGTAGGATAGAAAATTTTTCGAATAGATTTGTTTTACTATTACTTGAAAGCAGTGCGTGGAGGAGCCCAAAGCGAATGAATCAATGCGCAAGGTTAGCAGGGTGTCTACAAGTCCGGAATTTCCGAAAAGTCCGGAAATAGTACTGATATTTTAAGACAGGTCCGAAAATACTGAAAGAATTCAAATATTCCGCAAGAAGGTCCGGATTGTTTCCCCTTTTTTTCATTTTTGTCGCAATTTAAGCGTGAATTACAAATTTTTTAAATTTTTCTAATTTCGTCAAATGGAGGTACTGAAAAAGTACGGAATTTCTGCTCCGGAGGAGGTACTGAATTCCTTGACAATGTACCGAAAAAGTACTGTAAAAGTACTTATTTTTGAGGAGGCTGTTTTAGTAGACACCCTGTACGAGAACCGTGAGGTGGAATGGATATTAATTTTGGTGATGGGTGTGTTGCAGGCAGGAGACCCAGGAAGCCGTCAAGCTGGCCGCTACGGCGACGATGAACACCCACTACCACAACCCGTACACGACGGACCTGACCTCGCCGCACTCGCCGGTGCCCGAGTTCCGGAGCCAGGCCGCCAACGGGGACCACAACCACAATCACAACCACCCCCACCCTGGGCACCCGGGGGGCCCCCACCCGGGGCACCCCCACCACCC